ATCCGCATCTCCCTTCATAATACCAGTCTCCGGTGCTGAACCAAGAGAGGCACCAGCGGCACCCATAATCTTCTCGAAAGTCCTCTTGTCCACGCTATCACCAAATCTAAGGCTAAGCTGCTTTACTCCCTGTAATGCACCCATGAGTGCACCAGGTCGTAGTCCGCCATAAAGAGTCGTGTTGATGTTCAGCGTCACATTCGTCAGAGGTCTTCGACGCTGGTGATCTAGAATGGGCGACGACGAGATTCCCGACTCGAATGGGGCAGCTAGCATGGTTACTATCGTGGGTGTCGCATGAAGTGTTGACAAATTGGGAAGGAGGGTGGCCGAAGAGAATAAATCATCAAGGGACGAGATAGACGAAAAGGTCTGCATAAACGGAGAATGGGGGCCGGATGTGGGTGGAGTCGACTGTGATTGGAATGAAAGGGACGGGGAAGAGAACAACGGAGTGGAAGGACAGGAACTCTTTCTCTCTTTGTCGCCATTGGCGGCTTTTGATGTCGTGGAAAGTTCTACATCCTGCAAACACGGGAATTTAAGTGTCGTGATATTTGTCTGGCCATCCAACCAAGTAAAGAGAGCTTTCCTTTCGGCATCTGTTGTGGTAGGGTCGAAGAATGTCAGACTTCTCAGTCCGAAAGCCGTATGCCGACCCAAAAGACCGATTTCGAAAGATGGAAGAGCGAGTGCTGATAGGTTGGACATTCTCTCGAATGCAAGTGTGAACGTTGCCGTGAGAAGGGCGTCGTGGTGTTGAATTGGACGTCTCGTACTCGATTCTTGGGTTTGAGATTCCAAGATGAAGAAAGAAGGCCATTCGGTGCACGAGAAATTCGTTACGAGATCTGTCAAATCCCGTCGTGATGCTAATGTCGCCACGAGCTTCTCCAACTGTGTCGACGAGAGGCCGTCAAGGTTGAGAGAGACATATGACGCTGCCCTTGCGACCGAGCAAAACATTCGCGATACGGGTGCACATACCGCAAGTTCGGGCCGGGAGAGATGCGAAAAAATCAAGCCCACAATTTCCTCAGGAATGTGTATAAAGCGTCCGTGAATTGGGGGCACTGGCGGCGGCGGCTCAGAGAGAACAAATGATTGGGACACGGATGAACGTCGGGAGCTACCACTAACTTTGGCACTGCGAGACCGTAGAAGGTTGGGAGAGCTGATAGCACGAGACCGAGTATATTCTCCACCTGACTGCGGATAGAAGGGCGAGTCTGGGACATAAAATTGAGGCGTAAAAGGTGATGGTGGAAGTGAACGGTTCGACGTAATGGATACTGCACGACCCAACCCACTTGGTCGACGTATGTCGTCCTCCTCCGTGTCAAGGGAAGTATGAGACGACGATGAGTGACGGGTGATAGACGATGTTTGACTGCTGGGATGCTGACTGCTGTCCGCTAGGTTTAAATGAGATGGCGTCTTTTTCCGTGACGAAAACATAGTCGAGACGCGTCTTATAATGCCTGTTGCACTCATCCCGCTTGTTGTCCTAGCCCGACTCAGCTTGCTGGGCACATTCTCGACTGGAGACGGGAGTGGCGAAGGTTTGGGTGGACTCTGTAAACCTTTCTCAGGTTTCGCCTCTAAAAATGTCGACGGGTGGAATGCCTGTAATGACCGTCTTCTGTTTTTGAATGCCATAGTCCTAGTGTCCGCACAAGTCCAGATGGTCCCGGTCGAAGGTGCAACTGTTACCTCTGGGATACCCCAGAGTGGAGTTGAGAGGGTTTGGTTAAAAAGCCTCTAACGCCAATGTATCGAATTCTTTTACCTGCTGATATTTCGTGGAAAAATCATGGCGACCAGGGTGGCAACCTCGCTAACCTCCTGCCGTATTGGTGCCCACCCTGACAACATCGGCAAATTGCGCCAGAACACCTGTGCAGAGGCGCTTACAATGAGGCCAGGAGTGCCTATATTATATCAAAAGAAAAAGAAAAAAGTCTTTATCTCATTTACTTATGTTTAAACTACAGTCGAAGATGGTCGAAGAGGCGGGACAAGAGTGTTCAGGACGGACAGGTTCGACATTGTTGACTTGTCACCTCGACAGGCCCCGCTTTTTACATTTTCTCAAGAAGTTTCTTCCATCTGTCTGTCGTACCCCGCCACATTGACATGATATTGATATTGAATAGGTACGTACATAAATCCTTACGTTAATATTGCAGCCCCTTGGCTCTAGGAAAATTACTTCTTCAATCTTCACCAGACAGCATCCTCGCAAACTTGACCAAAATTGTAGCCCCCGTGTCTTTGCCTCTCATATCCATCATACGTACAACAACCCATTGATCAGTAATGAGGTGGTTCAAACGGGCACAAAATACGACAATTTTGTCGTCTCTCCCAAACTCGTCCTCATAAACTTGCAGCCTAACGTATTCAACACATGAAGCATCAGTAAAAGTACGTTTATCCGGATTTATGTGTCGGCGTCTCCACGTACCGGAGAAAAGCCATGTCGTCATGATCGAATTCCCACCCAAACCGTGCATTCCAGAATGCATCAGCACCATCGCCGACAACATGTTGCGCCTTCACGCTCTTAGTTCGCTCTTTCAAGTCTTTACCTGACTTGAAGATCTTGGCCTGGACATACGTGGAGAAGGTTTTGCCCTCGCGTTTGTTCGGTGCGGGTACTGCGAGAACAGGCGCGTAATTAAACACGAGTCAGCTATCGTTCCGAACAAAAACATAATGGTCTAGACTAACGCGAGCTCGCACCGGCGATGATCACCTCGAGGCGCTCTCTTTTGCCCGTCTCTCTCGAATGACCGCTGACCTCCGTCATCCCTTTTCTCATATGTCGGGGCTTCTCAGTCCACCCTGTGCTCCCAACAAACATAGCTTCATTAATTTGCATCCCTTTATCGTACACCTGCCAGTTCAAGCTGTTGACCTGGCTCCCGTTTCTCCAAAAGTCCAATGGATTGAAGTTGCTGGACCCAATTCTCAACCCTTTGGGATACACCCTTCTCAGATGCTTGGCGCTATGCTCAATGAGCTGGGATAGGAACGCGGGGGCGAGAGCTAGGCACGTAGATTCAGAGATGTTGATCATAACATGAGGAGGGAAGGAGATATCTATGGAAATAAATTTAGCATCCAGCTTCTTAGCTTGAGCCATTAAATGAAGAAAGCAGCCACTCACGTTGGGATAACCACCCTTTCTTGGGTTTCATGCTACGAGCGTAGTACCCAAACTCTGCGAGCTGTTCCGAAATACGAGCACGAGCTTGAGCTTTGGTTTCACCCCTCTTGCTGTATTCCTCATCTTCTTCCCATTCTTCCTTGTCATCGGAATCCTCTGAGGACGAATCCTCCTTCTCTCCTGTCCCAGACACAAGGGTAGGATAATACTCAACCTACGTCAAAGAGGTCAACTTCCGTAGGCTTCCCAAAAAAAAAGACTCAACAACTCACCATCAATAAAATCTTGCCCAGGATCTGAGCAGGCGAAACCATATCATTCGGGTCACTTCCGTCGTCTAGCTTGCCTTTCACAAGCTTATCTCCCCAAATGTCTATCATCTCCTTCACCAGCTCTGCCTGACCGTCGATATCAACGTGACACTCCAGACTGACGAGAACTGGCCAGTCATTTGGTTGAACTGCGTCCCCGATGGCCTGACACACCGACGCGAACGAGACACCCTTGCTGAACGTGTGTCCGTGGGTTACGATCAATCCTTTGGACGATGGCCAAACGTCAATTTCTTTCGTGAAACGACAAAGATATCAGTCAAATGCTCAGCATGAGTAACAGGAATCTAGCTCACCCACACAACGCCCATTGCGATTGATAACATGAGTATATGACGCGGCTGAAGATTTGCCTACGATTTGTCTCGACAGGAGGTATGTATTATGTGAGGAACTAATGAAATCATCTCCAGGTCAATGCAATGTCAGTGAAGCTTTTGACCATTAACTACTTACGATACAAAGTAATCAGTTAGGGGCAATGTAGGGTCCACCCTCGGAGGTTGGATGATAGGCCTCCTCAGCACTCTTTCAACTTTCTATGTGTGTGTAAAGCACCTCAGAGCGAAAGTTCCTTTGATACAGCATCTAAACCACATACCTCACCTTTCCCCTCCAAAAACTTGACGACTTCAGGGCTTAACCTCGTATGTCCATACTCCTCACCTGCTGCAGGAGGGTTGAGGTTATGATGTGTATGGATCTCGTACAAGTGTGAAAGTTCGCGTTGGATGTCGACCACTTCGCCCTGTGCCCCTATCTCAACTTGTTGAGACATCTCAGTCTACCTCTAGTTATCGTCTTATGTGATCTTGATTCTCGATGGATCCCTATCTCAGGCACGTTCAACCTACTTCGTATTTCCACCGGTGTGAGGAAGCTGGGGGATGAAGGGAATGGTAAGATGATGTCCAGAACAAGGACAACTGCTTGAATTGTAGTCTTCAATGCCCAGCAAACATACGCACCTTCTGCTTACATATCTGCATCATGATATTGCAGACATACTGTCCAGGTTACCAAGACAGCTCCAATGTTATCTTGCTCCCTTGTTTTGGAAACATTCGGAACCTCTTTCAGCTCTTAGGCACATCTCACGATGTCGATATTGTGACAGTGAATCGGGTATAATGGAGCCCCGGAGAGCCCGCAGATACATAGCAGGAGCAACATTGACATTGAAGCTAAAGTTCTGAGTCAAGTTGGAGGACGCCTACAAGTCCCAAGATGTGCCCAGGCATGACTTCATTTGCCGAGTACGCTCAGGGTTTACACGCCACTAGCTAGTAGCCAGCAGAGGCGACTTGTTAAATCTCAAGAGCTTTGTACGCTCTAAATTTTTGCGGAGTTCAACGGCGTTCAATCTTGGACTATGTAAAAACTATCGTCAGGAGTGGGAGAAGGATGGAGATTGTGTGGCGCACGTTCGATCCCTCACCAATCTAAACAGTCGCTCAAAACAAAACAAATCGCAGAAGGAAAAAAAGGTCAAAAAATGGGGGCACCGCGGATCGAACGCGGGACCTTTAGAATGCGACTTTCGTGATGTCAACCACAGAAAACCAGCTTCAGTCTACTGCTCTCCCAACTGAGCTATGCCCCCTTATAAGATATGATATTTACATTCCCAGTTGGTGATGGGAATCACCATTGTACCATCCAAATACTCTAAGCGTCCACGAATTCCATGCAATCGAATAAAATGTGAACGAAATCATCGATGAATCATAAAATCTAAACGATGTTGAAGGTGCTTGATCATTATAGAGAGTAGCAGCTACTACATAAGTACTTGATATTTGGTTACAATCCGTTTCCGAGTCCCAAGTGATAGTCATGTTAAAGAGTGCAGGGAGTGGGAGTAGTCCGATTCTAATATAAGATGTGAAATGGTCGTAAATTTTATTAAAAGAAGATAAAGAATGTACCGAAGAACGGGTAATTGAACCTACACCACCTCTTCGTATAGTGAAAAATAAATGGGCATGTAGAAATTGTTGGAATGCGTACATTAAGAAAATGTCGGGAGGTTAGGTTGACGAGGCCAAACGAATGAAAAAAGTGGGATACAAAAGTCCAAAAGAGTGTACTTCCATCCGTAACCTTGCCTGTCTAAGAGTCCATGCAATGATTATCCAGTTTTTTTATAGTCCAGAAGCCTAAAGGGCGGATGAAGCAGCGAAAGCTGTAAGTGCAAGGAAAAGAAGCGAAATATTTGAATCAAGTCTTTGCGAGCTCCCTGAATTTTTCTCTGATTGCGTGTGTGTAGGCGACGGCTGCACGGAGCTTGTTGATTGCACAGTGTTGTTAGCTACCGTTAAATTCGTCGAAAGTGTCATTGAGCCCGTAATGTCTGGAAAGCGAACAGAGTCAATACAAATGTTCGGGTGTATCAGGGCGAGGTTGAGGTGCTCACATTGCTCGAACGTAGGGAAGGTGGTGTTGCCCTCTACGTATGGGTGTGTAACGTTCATTCCAACAGCGATTGGAACAATGTGCTAACAGATATCTGTAAGTTCGACGGTACCATTCTGATGCATACGAAGTAAAGCCCTACAGAAAATGCGGCTTTGAGCTTCGGATAAAAGTTGATGGCTTCCTGCATGGTGAAGTCATTCAACTCGTGGGCCAAGATAATTGTTCCGACCTATGGATGTGTCAGCGAACGAGAACCAAGATCATTGCGGACGCTAGACTCACAGTATCGAATAGACCCTTCTGCGCGTCATTGATCATGTTCTGGTAGTTGCTATCGATGTTTTGATTCGTGATTTTGGGCGTGGTCCCGAACTGCCAGTCGTCAGAGTCATACTTCCAGAGGACAGTGCGCAAGCCAAGTGCGTTGGCGATAGCGCGGACTCGGTCGTCAATATCTCCAAAGGGCGGCTAGATTGACGGAAGATCGAAAATAGAAAGTCATGAGCCAAATGGGGCAAGCATCGAGACATCGAAAGTCACTCACCCTGAAGCATGTAGGGGTTACTCCAGCCACAAGCTTAATAGCTTGAAGCTAATTAGTCGTTCACATACATCAGTTATTCATTCATCACCTCATGACTAGAAGTGAGACCAGCGGACGTACGGCTAAAGAGCACAAGGATATCGTTAGCATTGGCATCAACTAAGCTAATTAAAACACCAGACGTACTGTAGTAGAGTTCCGCGAAGACGTCCTCGCTTTCCATTGCAGTCACTGAAAGGCGGGAAACTAGAGTTAGAAAAAAGTAACAATATACTAGCTCAAGGACAACGTACGATAACGGTGAGACCATGTATCTATACGACGAAGTCAGAAGCCATCATAGATCGAAGACACCAAGTGACACTTACGAACGCAAACTTCATGACCTGAAAGGAAAACAATAAACGTATTAGACTTTGACTCTATGAAGGCTCTTGTAAAGGGGGCATACCGTCAGTGATGGCCCTCTGCGCTTCCATGGGCCAATTCATGACGTTACTACCAATGAAAAACATGGCTAAAAGGTTGTTGTCAGGGACGATCTAGTTAGTGGATCTTTCGAGGACGACTGAAACTCACTGGCTTTCTGATTTTGTGACTTGAGATAATCGTAGAACCGATTGTGCGTGCAGTTAGGGCCATCGTCGAATCCGTAGCCCAATGTCCGAGGCTATTGGAAGAAAACAATGAATGGATCGGATCAGTCCTTCGACGTGTTATGCCATGGCCAGTAGAACCATGATCGAAATGGATTTCGCACCTCGGGCATGACAGCAATATCTGCCGGTATACCTTGAGCTTTGGGAGTAACACATTTTGTCGCGGTCCACCAGCAGTCAGGATCGTCGGCGGGGTAGTTTACACCATTGAAATTTCCATCCGTTGTTCCCTGTGCACCAATTGTCATAGTCAGCCATCGCGAAGTATCTTGGTTAGGGAATCGAATCATACTCTAGGCTCGATGTCCGGAATGGATTGCTTGATTGAATTCCACTTTGTTTGCGCGTTCGTATCACTAGGCAAGATGGTGGCGGGCTGCCAGATAATGGGGAATGATGCGATGGCGTTGGCGACGGGGGCGTAGTAGTACCCAGCGCATGCCTTCTCTCCGGGTGCTACGATTCGAAAGAATGTACATGTTAGCCACAAAAATGAGTAAACTGTCTTCAGCATATCCTGCCGACATGACTAAATGTTTGAAAGATACGTGATAGAGAATCTGTCCGCTTCCTCGTTCATCGGATAGTAGTGACATATGGCTGTCTATAAATAGGTCGCTTAAGCACACCCATCTGCATGCGGCATATCCAGACCCAGAAATAACCACCCGCAATCGTCTACTCGAAACGCTCAGTGGAAGAAGATGGTTACTTCGGACATACATGACCGCACGAGCATGCTTGGTGTGGACGAAGAACGTAAAGACTTACGAGGGATTGATGCGTCCGGCATGTTAGAGTCAGGCATCCCATTCGTCCCTAACACTGCGAAAGCGCCCAGCACACACAGTGCTTTCTTTATATCTCGATATCGGTGTGTTGAAGTTGTCATTTCGAAGGATCGAATGTTGTCAGAAAAAAAGAGGAATGATGGAGGGATGAAAAAGAGAAAGAGTGGAGGCGAACGTAAACAAGCAAAATCAAAGGCGGCTAACAATTCCAAATTACACCCCACAAGAGGAAAATCGGGTGATCGATGAGACAAACAGGCTTGTGGATCCGGCGAGTTTGAAGAGGGCCAAAAAGAAGAGCGAGACCAGGAAGATAACAAGGAAGCGTAAAAAAGCCTCGCCGCCTAATAAAAAGCGGTTTGGAGAAGGGGAAACAAAGAGGAATGACAACGCTTGCGAACAGCTGTCTTTAAGAGATAAAAGGAAAGGACAGAAATAGACAGGAATCGGCACGCAAAGTATCAAGTAGGACAGATGCACGGAATGTAAAGTAGACTGACTGAGTGGTCATGCAACGCACTGTGCCAATTTCGGTGATCGATAGCAGCTATTTTTAGCCTCCGAGGTCGGAACGAGTTCTGGTTTGCCACACACCAACTGGTTACAGGCAGCATAACATCGCTGCTACCAAAAATGTTATCAAACATGCGCCTTCCTTGCTCTCACATATAAATGGACACCTGCTTTGCTGGAAGTCGTGCCGGTTGTGCCAGCGCTGTTCAATTGAGCTTTTTTGAGGTCCTCTTCGCATGCCCTTCCAATGCATTGTATATAGCTGTATTTTAATAGAATGAAGGCCGGTGCAGTGATTACGTTGATGCCTGTACACCCGCGAAATGAACGCAGGAGGATAACTTTGCCATATGTCATTGGGTTCTCCATACAACGGCAGACGTCCAACCCTGTATAATTTTGGTGGAATACTCGTCATGCCAATGACATAGCGTAGCGTTACAATTGGAGCCGTCTTCGGCTTGATAATCCGCGAGCCACCACTGCAAGGCGTGTTTTATCAGTGGAGCTCTAACGCCAGCATTGCTGCATGCTAAGCATTCGATACGATTAGAAACCGGCAATGGTCGGCTCTGGAAGTAGTCATATCTCCCAAGGGGAAATTCGACGCATGCACATCAGAAATAACCTATTAAACCGCCTAAACTTCTGCTTGCGGTAAAGTGTTTGAAGTCCATCAACACGCTTTTCACACCTCTTCGGACCTACACGCTGGGAAGATGGGTGATATCACTTCTAATGATTGACATACCTTGGGACAAAGGAAATAAGATCACTCTGGATAGTTAGTGGGAACTTCTTGCCACGAGCAAAAGGCGGAAGGCGGTGCGAGTAGATAAAATTGCGTCTGCGGGTTCAGCTGATAGGTTATGGGTATCTTACATCTCCAACAATTGAAAGTAGAAATAACATCTCCTTCAATGAAGGGTATGGCATTGAACGTCGCTTTGTCCCGCGGATGACAGACTTGCATCCGATGAGGTCATGTCGGTTTCAGCACGAATTTGCGGCCACTGAAGACCGTGTTGTTAAGCGGGAAGGCGAGCCCAACGAAAAGGAACTGTTAGATGTTGATCCAATAGGGGCTATGTATGATCAAAGAAAATTCACCACATAATAGCAGCAATCGCCCGTTGGGGTTGTCGGGGGCGTGGTTCGATAGCGTTGTTCTGGGAGAAGCGAGAATGAGTATCCGTAGACATTTCTAGTGGTCAGCGGGAAGATATTTTGAGTGTTCCGACTCACACCAAGGAGCAAGTATCAAACCGAGAATAAAAACAGTAGGAACGGAGATTACTCCTTCCGAATGTCCAGAATACGTTTCATCCCCTGGGTTTGCGCATACGGAAGGCATAGTCACCCTACGGAGAGTAAAATAACTTCGGAGAGAGAAACTGGTGATTATGCGATGATTGCCTGACTCTCTGAGGATTCACGAGCAAGGGAGAAATGTAGTTACAGAATCTGGATAAGGCTCAAGAGTCGTTGTGCTTCTGATCAGGAGCTATTTTTGTTGGGGCTTCTAAAGGACACGAGACACCTTAACGGGATGTTTATCAAGCGAACACTTGGAGATTTCCTCCAAATGAGTTCAAGGAGCTATAGTAGAGCTGGCTTCATAGATATGGTTTCAGTAGGTAGTGGTACAAAGAAAGACCTTCAATGCCAACGACTCTGT